TTGGGTGTCACACTCATGGTCTTCTGTGTGTGTGTACAAGTGTGTGTCCGCGCGTGTGTGAGGCAAAAATGGTCATCCGGTTCCAGAGAATTTCCGTGTAGATGAGATTATGAAATCCTCAGAGCTGAAAGAAGGGCAGGTGTTAGTCCGGACACTCTTCCTCTCAGTTGACCCTTACATGGTGAGATGACCTTGCTTGTGTTTATTATCACTTATGTGGTTTGAGTTTTCTTGAAGGAAATCCATTCATTTCATGTGGGAAATATTCACTATATTCATATAGTGAATATTTAATTCATGAAAACTCAACCTATAATCAGTATACTACCAGGCATTAACTTATTCACTCATGCATGATACAATATTAACACCAAACTCAATGCAGCGCTGTCGCATGAACGATGATACTGGAGCTGACTACCTGTTGCCATGGAGATTAGAGGAGTGTGTGGATGGAGATGGAGTTGGTGTAGTGGAGGCCAGCAAGAATCAGGCATTATCTGTGGGCGCTATTGTCACCTCCTTCAACTGGCCTTGGCAAACCTACAATGTGATGGACGGCAGCCTTTTGCAAGAGGTATAATGCTCATTTTGGCAAGTTTGATTAATAGACTTCATGTATATGGATAGGAGGTGTGTATGGATGTGTGGTGTACTCGTTCTTGCAGGTTGACCCAGAGATGGCAGATGGTCACCTGAGCGGTGGGCATGCCTGACCTCACTGCTCTTTTAGGTGTGAGAGAGAAGGGTCATGTGACTCCAGAAACCCACCAGACGATGGTCATCAGTGGAGCAGCTCGAGCTTTTGGGTCGATTGCTGGACAGGTAATATGTAAGTGGATATAAGAAATTGGTCTGTTCTCTACGGGAAGAGTTAGTTTAGTCAAATTTTAGGTTCATTTGAAAAGGGTTATTATAAATTATCTTGATATTTAGTGGTGCCTGCTAAGGTAGACTTTTCACTGATGCTCATTTTTTGTTTGGACTGTTAGTTTATATATATATATATATATATATACAAAACTGTTCATATATTCATTAACTTGAACACACCTCTTCTATGATGAGTATTTTAAACTAAGTTCTCATTCACACACAAGTTTACGTTAAAAACACATGAGATACAAAAAACAGTCGGTTATATCTGTGAAGGTAAACAGCTGGGAAATAAATTGCATGTTTATTTTAGATCTGTGTGGCAGCAGCAATATACAGTAAATAAATCCACTGCTCTCTTGTCTCCTCTGAGGCTGGGACTCTAAACAGTGTTCTGTGCAGCCAAAGACAGAACAGGTAGCATGTTTTGCTCAAACTTTCGGCATTAGAGATGGTACACCATTGTCGCTTGTGAAATCAAAATGACGGCGCTGTGGGTGGAAACTTACAGATTAAGGGGCGGTAATATTATAATGAGATCCCTTTGCTACGTCACCAAGGGAGCGAAATCAGACACGCTGGCTTTTTCAGACGATTGCAGAAAAAGGCTTATCAAAACAAAGTTACTGCGTTAATCTTTTTCACGTTTCCTTGGTTGGTAGATGCACCGGGGACCTGATTATAGCACTTAAAACCTGGAAAAGTCCGATTTTCATGATATGTCACCTTTAATAATATTTATGAATTCAACATAATTTGGTATTATATTGAGCACTAAATGTCTCACTATGTGCTTCTTGCATAAAACAATATAAAAAAGTTTCAAATGTTTTGCTCTTTCCTTGTGATATATGCCATGTTATTTTAACTTTGCTCTCTGTTGTTTAAGATCGGCAGATTGGATGGCTGTGAGAGAGTCGTGGGGATTTGTGGTTCCGACCAGAAATGCCAGACCTTGGTAACAGAGCTGGGTTTTACAGCAGGGTTAAACTACAAAAAAGGAGATATCAGCTCAGCGCTGAGGGAGCACTGCCCCGCAGGCATTGATATATACTTTGACAATGTAGGTGGTCCCATCAGCGATGCTGTTATATCACCGGTACAGTATGTCCTCCCTTCAGTTTTTTTTCTTTGGGTCGTTTGTGTTAAAGTAATATTCACACTGTGCAGATGAATCCCGGTGGTGATGTGATCCTGTGCGGCCAAATATCACAGTACAATAAGGATGTGCCTTACCCACCTCCTCTTAGTGAGGATACCCAAGAAACGTTGCATCACAAAAACATCACAAGGTACATGAAAATAGCTAATAAAACCTACTTTGTTGATTGTATGTATGTGTATGTGTATGAATGATCATATTACCAACTTGTACGCACTACAGTATGTTCACAGGGAGAGATTTGTTGTATTGAACTACATGGAGAAGCATGAAGAAGGTCTTATGCAGCTCAGTCACTGGGTAAAGACAGGCCAGAAAAAGGTAAATCTACCACAGTCATGTTTCCTCACACGAAAGACGCCACAAACCTTTTGTACATCGTATCTCTCCTCTTCATTTTACAGGTGTTGGAAACTGTTGTAAATGGAGTTTATTATTGTTATTATTTTCTCATGTGCCAAAGTTTACTTTGCATACATATTGTATGAACCGTCTGTGTTTATATTAGTAGATGTATGCACTATGCATATTTCAGAGGCGTTCTGCTTCATGATGACCGTAGGCAACAAAGGTAAACAAGTTGTCAAAATTTCAGACTGAGTCAAACATCTGCATCAGGAGGTCATGTGGTGCAGTCATTATAAATCTGGGCTGGTAATCAAAAGACTACCAAAAAGGTCTCTCAAGAAGACATTTGAGGTTTCTCCAGTGGGACGGTCCCTTTAAGTGTGCTGTAAGTCAGTTTGGATAAAGGCATCAGCTAAATGACAAGTTGACCTAACGTTTAAATAAAATAAAATTAAAATGAATCTAATAATGTTTGCCTTGCTCTAAGTGTCTATTTTAAAATAAATTCAGTAATATACAGATAGTACAAAGCACTGCTTAAGGGTTGACACTGAAAATGCACATATATAGTTTGTTTATGAGTGTTTGGGGATTTTTTAAATGGTTTTGAAAGAATTCCCTTATGTTCACCAAGGCTGCATTTAAAAATACAGTCAAAACAGTAATATTGTGATTATATTATTATGATTTAAAAGAACGGTTTCCATTTTAAAATATTTTAAAATGTAATCTATTCCTTTGATGCAAAGCTGAATTTTCAGCATCATTACTCCAGTCTTCAGTGTCACATGATCCTTCAGAAATCATTCTAATATGCTGATTTGCTGCTCAAGAAACATTTCTTCTTACTATCAATGCTGAAAACAGTTGCGCTGCTTAATATTTTTGAGGAAATGGTGATACATGTTTCAAAGAACAGCATTTTTAAAAAATATTTTGTAACAATGCTTTGTAAAATGTATTTTTTGTCACTTTTGATCAATTTAATGCACCCTTGCTGATTAAAAGTATTATTAAAAAAGTAAATAAATCTTACTAACCCCAAACTTTTAAACAGTACCACTACTGTGGCAGGTATCAAGACTAAGGTGGCTAGTTCGAAAATGGCTCTATTTGATTAGTAGTAAATTAATTGCACGTTTCCTCTTAAAATATTTTAAGATATGAAAGTCTTGCCTTTACATGAAAAAGAAACGACAAAAACAAAATATAACTCACAATATGAAACCCCTTTACTTTGTTGTACATAGATACAGCCAGATAATTCAATTCCAATGCAAGATGATTCAGAGTTGCAGAAACATGACAAATATAAACTGAGGTTGTTTCATGTGGAAAAACAACATTGTCAAATATGTATTAATTTTTCACTGATTTTGTGCCTTCCACAAAACAAATGTGAACAGCACTTTCCGACATGAGTGGATCTACAAAAGCCACGTGACCACAGAAACTGAGAATGCCCAGAAAACAGTGCAGAACAACTGGAATGAATATACATTACAATATCAATGTGGATGAATACAATAAAATAATTCAGAAAATAATTCAGAAAAAAATTAAATACAGTCATTAAAACCAAATCACATGTAAGCAGATATTTCATCATCAAACATTCAAAGTCCTATTGGTTCACCACAAACACTGAGTAAATGTAGAATCTTCTAAAAATGTTCGTTCTCATTATCATGTGCCTTAAAACTGCGACAAAACTCTTTCAAAATAACATTCAGGTCATTGAAAGACAAACTAGAGCAGCCTATTGTTCAAGTCTTTACTTTCCTGAGAGACAACAGAGACCTTGAGTGACCCGACACAACAGGCGTGTTAGTGAATCCACCAGAAACTCTTGTCACAGCTCTTTCTGGCACCTGTCAAGTGGATTATGAGAGCAAAAAAGACAGACCTCGATGACAACACGGTTCCTTTTTTCAAACTAGCTGATTTTCCCACTAAATGGCCATTGTCCTTAGCTTGTTTTTGTGGTCTGCAACTGTGCAAAACCAACTATAAAAGAGCTGCTTCACAACGTTTCTCTAATAAATGTGTAACAGAATTGTGCACATTTGATTGTTTCCATGTGTTCAGTGTTCTATTCTATATGCTACATTGGGATGTTCCCTTCAGCAGTCCAAAATGTCTGGCTTTAATTTTCAGCATGTGTTTAAGTGGCCATTATTAAGTGTATTAACTGTGACTATTAACCATAGTGCAACAAAAATGTTCTACATTCATGCTCTTCTATATAAATATAGTGGTTTCATCCTTTTGAGATTAGAGTCTTTTGGAATAGGTATTTGAATAAGTATAATCAGTGAATTATTGTTCAAAATCTAATTCTTACACCGTAAGACGATGGATAAATCTTACAGCAGGGCAGGGAAGAGGCCAACTTTGTGTTCCATACCAAAACGTATTACACAGCTCTTTGAAATACTTAAAGTGTTAGTTTACTCTAGTTTAAATTCTGTCAACAGTTACTCGACCTCATGTCGTTCCAAACCCATTAGACATTCATTCATCTTTGAAACACAAATAAAGATTTCTGTCCCTCCATTGAAAGTTCATTCCAAAAAAATGAACGTAAAAAAAAAGATGAACAAAAGTCCTACAGGTTTGGTTGAGTAACTGATGACAGAATTTTCAATGTTGGGTGAACTATCCCTTTACTTCTGACAAATTCTTGCCAACCAACGTTGACATTCTGCGTCAACTATTTTTTTTGTACGATGACTGCTAAACTATACAATTTAACATTGTCCAACGCAATTTCATGTCCCTTTTATCACGGTGCAGTTTTCGTCTAGCAATAAAATAATAAAAGCTCAAATTCAATATTTATTTTGTTAATTAGTGGTGTATTAAGTGGAATAATGTACAGTCATCTGGTCATTATAGTTTTGATCGTCTAATCCAGGGGTGACAAATTCAGCACTGTCCTGCAGAGTTTAGGTCCAACTCTAATTTAACACACTTGAACCAAAGTAATCAGGGTCTTCAGACTCACTAGAAACTTCCAGGCAAGTGTGTTAGAGCAAAACTCTGCATGATATTGGCCCTTCAAGAGCAAGATTGGACGCCCCTGGTCTAATCTGATCGACCGAGCAGTGTTCCATTACGCTCACATACACATTAGTGACATGCAAAGCTTGATGCTTTGGCTTCTTTTGAAACTATTTTCATTGGTGGAGAAAATAAAGAAATAATCTATAGCCGATAATGACCAGCTTCATCCCTTAAATGATCCTTTACATTTTATACCTCGTCTACAGGTGTAAGCAAATTTGGTGATATCATCCTCTCTTTACAGTGTAGTTTATATGCATTAAAATAATATGAGAGTACTCATACTGACTGACCTCTCGGTGAGTGGTGGCAGTTTCATGCAGAAACATTGATTAAGAATATCAGGCAGTCTTATTCCTTTCTTGATTGCTCATCACAAATAAAAAACAAACATAATCTGACGAGTACATAATGCGTAGTTTATCAAAGTAATAGGTATGCTTAACTACACACATCTGGACTTAACACTGCTTGGGTTCACAACAGTGAGAACTGACTACAAAAACTACCAACGTGTCTTAGTGTCAAAGGAGGATCAGAACCAGGTTTGCAACGGCTCCGTCATCCACATGTGATGCCATCATCGCTTCATATTAACTAAAGACTATTTTTTTCTATCCTAACGCGTCATGGGAACGATTGGCAATTCGGTGACCGTGAAGACAGTGGTGTAAGAAGGGAAGAGCTTGGCACAAAACAATGTCCGTCACAACGATACAGGTGAAGGCCTCTCTTCAACCGTCACAACGGCCGGTTGGTCTTACTGCCACCAGAGAGACTAGGAGGCGTTCCCCACCATGCCCTGTACACTAACAGCAGGCCCATGAGCAGAGCCCAGGTACGTACGGGAGACAGGAAGAAGGCCAGTGCCCCATAGGTCTCCAGCAGGAAGTAGCAAGAATAGGCCTGCCAGATCATGAGGACCAGCATGCCTATGTGCATCACCAGAGTCCTCCAGCGGCTGCCCGGCCGACAGAAATGCGAGCGGAAGCTGGTGCCGCGACACCTGTGGTGAAGACTCCAGCAGAGGTAATAAGTGAGAGGCATATTGAAGAAGAGCACCTGTGGATGACAGATGACATGTTACAACTCATCCCTTACGATCAGTATGATCTGCACCTAGATCTGGAATTACCTGTATGACTCCCACGACATAGGTCAGACTGCCTTCGAGGAAATGCCCGTCCACAAACACGCCAAAGGCAAAGCAGGCTCCACTGTGTCCATCAATGACTTCCCCAATGAACCATGGCCCTGAAAAACCAGTAGACTAAAAGCACTGTTCCTTCTTCACAGTAATTGCAAGGACATGTTGCGAGTTCATCCTGACGCATTTTCATTGCGCTCGAGCAAACCAAGTAGGGCTACACAAATATGCTCATCATTTCCCTTGATACTGTAATCATGATTATTCATTTCAGGTTGCTTCTTTTTAAGTGTCACAACAAAAATGACACACTCACCACCCCCCCCCCCCCCCCCTGATGTGCAGCACTTAGACATGAAATCAGTTTTTAGTGATACTGCATGCAAGTTATTTCTGTATCAGCCATTAGTCTGTTTTAAAGGGATAGTTCAAAAATGAAAATGTTGTCATCATTTACTCACTCTTGTGTCTTTCCAAACCTGTATGACTTTCATTATTCTGTGAAGAAAATATTTTTAAGAAAAATGCCTTTGTGTTTTTTGTCCATACAGTGAAAGTCAATGAGGCCCAAATAAAGTCAGTGGACTCCACTGGCTTTATTTGTATGAACAAATAATTTTTATTTTTAAATATCTATGTGTTCCACAGAAGAAATAACTGTAATAAGTACAAGTTTAGAACAACATGAGGGTGACTAAATCTTCAGCTATATTTTCTTTTTTGGGTGAACGATCCCTTGACATCTGTTTTGTTTGGGTCCAAAATGACCCATATAGAGTTATATGTAACTTCAGACTCTACTATTGATTTTATACATGAAAATTGGTATATGTTTATCTAGATATAGTCTTAGGCTTATCAAAGGCATTTTGAAAAAAGCTATTTTTAATTTTAAAAACAAACTAGTTTTTAAGTTGGAAATATAAATATTTTGCATCGGCACTTTCACAATTTTATTAGATTTTTATTTTTGGTTTATCATTTTATTAGATTACTTACAGCCCTAAGGTCAAGGGTCGGTTATGGGCATTTATAAAAACTAAGAGACAATTATCTATAATATAATAATTATGTGATTATCACTCATTCTCTCTTCTGAATGGTCGGATGGAAAAAAAACTATTTTCTGTATTAAAAAAAAAAGATTACAGGCCTTCTGCAGTGGTAGCTTAAATCACTATGTTCCATCAATTTGTGAAACTGTTTAAGTGGTGTCAGGCGGTGACTTACCTAATGCTGTACACAGGTTGAACAGCAACAGAGAGTAGAAGAACATGTTGCTCTTACTGACAAGATGCAGGGACATCCATGCTTGAGAAGACAGTCCTGATTAATTATAAGAGCATATAGTGTCAAGTGTCAATTATGCTTTGGAACTATGAAGAACATTTATATTCAGTTATAATGACAGGACAAGATTTGTTATACGTTAATACAACAGAAATACCTCTTGTAGAAGATACAGGCATAAATCTGAAGAGCACAAGCCCAGCAAGGTTTAGTAATACTATTGCCACAAAGGCAATCCGTGCCTGTGGGACACACACACACACACACACACACACAGTCACTGAGATGCATGTAATATTAATTAACAGCAAACGATTAACAATAAACTTTTTATCATTTACTTTTGTGGTAAATGTGTTTTATGTAGCGATTTTATTGTTGTACTCTTGTCCTAGACCCAGACTTTCAATCTTAAACTATGAAAATCCACTATAAAAATATGAATCATGATATGTTTAAAGCTATAATAATTGAACTTAAGAGTGAAGCAAATAGCTATTTCAATATTTATTGTATAATCAATTTTTCACCATCACACGATGACCTGGTTTCATTTTCGTACCAGTATGTAGTGGTCTGTGAGGAGGATGAAGGACTGCATGAAGCCGAAGCTGGGAGTGAGGTCTTCCTCCAGTGTGAACTGCTGCTCTCGCACTTTTGAGCGACCTGCCGAGTCCTGGGACAGGGAGACAGAAGAGGTGAGAAAAGCTCACACTGCCATTTTCTTAAAAGAACACTACAACCATTTCTATATTTAAATAAACAATTGCTATGCAGTTGCTAAGGTTCTGAGTTTAACCATGTTGCTTTGTGGTTGCTAGGCTGTTCTGGGGAATGTTACTTTGAGGTTTTCTTAGTCGTTTTAAGCATTTTGTTGTTCTGTGTTTTCTGGCTGGTTGCTTAAGTCCATTTCTACAATATTCTGGTCTCCAGATATTACGCTTACAAAGTCTAAAGGACTTTTGCACAATTTGTCATCCAACAGGCAGAATTTGTTTGCCCAATTGTTTAGAAACGCAACAGCACACCTCTTCTCAACAAGCCGCGTGATTTGTGACGAGTGATCTTTAATACTAGAGCTCGGGGTTTGTTCAAATCACCTACCTCCACTTTAACTCTGATAGTGTGCAGCCCAGTAGCATATAGCGTTGGATCCCATTGCAGCACATATAAAGGACCCCCTGCGCTAAACGCTTTCCCCAGTGAAGCTCCATCCACACTCACACGCACAGCTGTGATTGAAGATTCAGAGAAAGCCAGGAGCCTACAGAACCGACACATTCAGCAATAAGTGCAACCCCAAAATATGACATTCTTGGTAGGACAGAACAAGTCATGCATGCAAGAAATAAAAATGAAAGTGAGGTTTGGATGAGAGACAATAATTTTTCACAAGTCAACGTCTGAGCGCTTGAAGGTTCAAGAGGACACACACAGAGACACCTGATGTGTGTGGAACTGCGGATACGACCCAGAGGCTCCACTCCTGGATGCAGGTACTGGGCGTCTTTGGGATTGGTGATCAGCACAGCTGGCCAGTCTTCAAACGTCAAGTCAGTGAAACTAAACAGGTCATGGTCGAAAGCCAATATCCTATACCTGAGCCCAGGAAAAAATGCATGTCACCGCTTTTTTATAAGAGTTAGGGCACAATGATATGAGTTCCTCATATATCAGCTGTTGTGCTTGTATTTGCTAACATAGTCAGCTATATTTACATCATGCAGCATTCCCTTGAGTGTGGGCCTTGTTCTTTCTGAACTTACCTGCGGTTTTCCATCCAGTCTCCCAGCTCTAGCTCCAGTGTGCCTCCTTGATGTCGACTGTGCAGTACCGGCATGAAGCCTCCTAGTGTATGTAGGTGCCCACACAAATACGCCACGGCTGTACTGTAAAAAAAACAATGGATAAAATTCGAGATTCAGCAGAATATGATGAATATGACATTATGAGATGTAATCTGCAATCTAGTGCCTCTTGTTAGCTTTTCAACATTATTCCTCACAAGTGTTTAATATGAATGGCACTGAACATGACATAATTAATACAGCATATTCCCAGGCCTGAGTGCCAAACCTTGCTTTCAGACCAGAATTCATGCTAGAGAATCACATACTAGGGTTTTAGATGTAGGTCAGATGGCCAAGTAGACATCAGATTTAGAATGACATTTGAAAAGTGGCCCAAATCTAGTCGCAGTCTCAGACGGCACAGTCACAGGCCATCCACAGGTCACTTACTGGTTCTGATTCATACTGCACACAAAAATTGTAAGCCCTTTCCTAATTTGCAACATAAAGGGATTTTTTTTTAAGTCACAAAGAAACTAGTGTCTACAAGGTTATATACATACATACATACATACATACATATGTAAAAACATTTGTATTATTACTTTTGTGTTGACAGAAACAAAAGTCTTTATATAACAAAATCTATTTTTTATTTTTCTTGTGTTTTCATTACAAGCTTTCATAGATACTTGATGCTGTAATTAAAAATCTATAATTTTATTAATCTACACCACCGTTCAAAACTTTTACATTGTTTCAAAAGATTGCTACCTCAAATAAATGCTGTGCTTTGGAATGTATCAAAGAGTATATCACAGTTTCCACTAAAAATATTAAGCAGCAATACAGTTTTCGGTAATAATAATAATAATAAATATTTTTGGGCATCAAATCAGAATATTAGAATGATTTCTGAAGGATCATCTGACACTGAAGACTGGAGTAATGATTGCTCTTCCATCACAGAAATAAATTACTTTAAAATATATTACCATAACAGTTAACAATCTTATTGACCCAAAACTATAAAAAGTAGTATTTTTTAATAAATTTTTGGTATAATCTTATTATCATTGATAATAAAATTATTGATAATAATTTTTGGTAACATTTTTGGTATAATCAGCACTGGAGCTCCTCAGGGTTGTGTTCTCTCCCCACTACTCTTCTCCCTGTACACCAACGACTGCACATCTAAAGACCCCTCTGTCAAGCTCCTGAAGTTTGCAGACGACACCACACTCATCGGCCTCATTCAGGACGGTGACGAGTCTGCTTACAGACAGGAGGTTAAAGAGCTGGCTGTCTGGTGCAGTCTCAACAACCTGGAGCTCAACACGCTCAAAACTGTGGAGATGATAGTGGACTTCATGAGAAACTCCCCTGCTCTCCCTCCACTCACCATCATGGACAGCACTGTGACTGCAGTGGAGTCATTCAGGTTCCTGGGCACCACTATCTCTCAGGACCTAAAGTGGGACACTCACATTGACTCCATTGTGAAAAAGGCCCAGCAGAGGTTGTATTTCCTTCGCCAGCTGAGGAAGTTAAACCTGCCACAGGAGCTGCTGAAACAGTTCTACTCTGCTATCATTGAATCCATCCTCTGCACTTCAATAACTGTCTGGTTCAGCTCAGCTACCAAATCTGACCTCAGAAGACTACAGAGGGTAGTCCGGACTGCTGAGCGAATCATTGGTACAACCCTCCCTTCTCTTCAACAACAGTACTCATCCAGAGTGAGCAAAAATGCTGACAAAATCACTATGGACCCCTCACATCCAGCACACTCCCTCTTTGAACTGTTGCCATCTGGTCGACGCTACAGAGCTCTGAGCACCAGAACGGCCAGACACAGGAACCGTTTCTTCCCTCAGGCAATCCATCTCATGAACACTTGACAGTAACTGTGGAACACACACTATTTATACACTCATACACTTATTTATCTAACACTCATACTCAGTCTACACCTCAAATTTGCACATAATATACCTGTACATACAAAACTGTCTATTGTAATATACCTGCACATACAATTGTCAATTTATATATTTTTATTCCTTATTTACTTGTTCTATTTTTTATTTTTTATTATCTGTGTTTTTTGTTCTGTCACTGTCATTCTGTTACACTGTGGAAGCTTCTGTCACGAAAACAAATTCCTCGTATGTGTAAACATACCTGGCAATAAAGCTCATTCTGATTCTGATTCTGATATATATCATAATTTATATTATTGTATTATTATTTTTATATGGACTAAAACTCACAAACTCTATATGTGACCCTGGACCACAAAACCAGTCAATTAATAAATAAGGGTCAATTTTTCGAAATTGGGTTTTATACATCATCTGAAAGCTGAATAAATAAGCTTTCCATTGATGTATGGTTAGGACTATATTTGGCCGAGATACAACTATTTGAAAATCTGGAATCTGAGGGTGCAAAAAAATCTAAATATTGAGAAAATCGCCTTTAAAGTTGTCCAAATTAAGTTCTTAGCATAGCAATGCATAGTACTAATCAAAAATTAAGTTTTTATATATTTACGGTAGGAAATTTACAAAATATCTTCATGGAACATGATCTTTACTTAATATCCTAATGATTTTTGGCATAAAAGAAAAATCTATAATTTTGACCCATACAATGTATTTTTGGCTGTTGCTACAAAATATACCCCAGCGACTTAAGACTGGTTTTGTGATCCAGGGTCACATATACATTAAGTTATTTTCTAATGTTTTCAGTATAGTCATATATAGAAATTTGGCACTGTTATTTAATGAATTTTCTCATGCTTGTACTTTATTGTAATATAATCTAATTTCATCTAAACCAACCCCTAACAGAAAAAACAAACAAAAACAAACTGTTGTTGGTCACTTTATATGCGGGTCACATGTTCTCTTCCTGTCTAAGTGGGTAGTTATTGGCGGTCAGTGGGGAAAAAAATCTAATTGGTTGACAGTGTTGCTGCAAGATTTTTCCAAACCTCATGAGCTCTCGGATTCCTGGGAAGGGGGAGATGACAGTAGATGTAGTATAATGTCCAAACCAGATGGACTTGTTACTGCTCAGACTCTCCTCTCGAAAGGTGGCCAACATGTCCATCTGAGTCTATGGGAAACATTCACATTTCAGCCCAAGGGAAAAGTTGTCATCACATTTACATAAGCAAAGCTAAAATTAACAGATCTCTTTTACCTGATTGATAATCCCAAAGAAGTTATAGGGCCGTTTGGGTCCTGGGGTCAGAGTGGCATCGGCACAAATGAACGAGTAGTTCCCAAAAGGAGTTCTGTGTATGTAGTGGAAGGATCCAACTTTCTGATTGGCAGAGTATTTCCTAAGTATTCAGTAATGGAGATAGAGATCTTTTTTTTTTTTCCTTGGAAAAATAAGCACCAACATATTCTTCCCAATAAGACCATTAAACGTGCATTAAAAAATGATTTTTTTAGTCGACTTTAATATCTGAACCTTCTTTATAGTCATTATTTTCTGCATTTGTAATATTTGTACAGACCTGTAATAATTGTTCACGCTCTCCAGTGAAATAATATTAAAGGCATCTGAGGAGACAAGAAGACAATATCAGTCAAGATTTCCTGGAAACGGCAGAAGAGCGGGGACAACATAACTGATAACAGAGCTCTTATTACATGTCTGGCAGCTTTCGTAATGTAATACCAGTTACAGGACCTGTGGGGAAATTGGAATAGAGGAAAAATGATATATGAGCTATGCGAGTTCATTAGAGATGTTCATTAGCCTCCACCAAAGTCGATGCAGTCTTCGTAGCTAAATATTAATATGCTAATCTGAAACACAGTTCCTGCACACTTTACACAGTGAGTTATGTATATTTAATCTGTTTATATTAAATCTCACTGGTCCAAATCCTTCTCCATTTAACTGTATTTTGAACATCAAATGTGTTTTGATTGGCTGTGATTCTGTTGAGCTGCAAAGCATTTAGTTTTAGTGTCATTGGAAACTTAACGTGTCACACCCGGTTGGTTGCTTAAAGAGATATATGCCATTAGAGAAATATAATTCTTACAGTATAATGACTTAAATTTCAGTCTGTTTCTCACGCAAAGCTATCAAATGGCTTCTGAAGACTTGGAATGTAGTGCATGTGTCCTTTTATGGGAAATTTATGAAGGTTTACAGTCTGAATCAGCAACCAACTGTATGGAAAAGAGCAGCATGAGCATTCATCTAAATGTCTCCTTATGTATTTGACACAAAAATATCTTATAGATTTGGAATGAGGTGTATCTGAGCATCAGATGAATAACTTAAATAATAAAAGGTGCCATTGCAACAAAATGAAAATGAACTAAATTACAACTATATATCATAAATGCAACTAAATTACTAAAAATGAAATAAAAATAATTTAACGCTAAATAGAAATATAAAAAAACGAATAAAAATGCACAGAACAAAAGCACATAACAACTATTAAAACGTTAACAATAATATGAAAACTGAAAGTATAAAAATAAAAGCTAATTCAGGATATGAATAAATACTATAATTGTATATAAATAATACTAAAATAACGCTGCTGAGTAAATGACAGAAATTTCATTTTTGGGTGAACTATCCCTTTAAATAAAGATAGGAAACTGGAGATATGAATAAATACTATAATTGTATATAAATAATACTAAAATAACGCTGCTGAGTAAATGACAGAAATGTCATTTTTGGGTGAACTATCCCTTTAAATAAAGATAGGAAACTGGAGGAGTAATGATAAACAGCCTCATGATTGCAAAGATGTTATTAATCCACTGAAGTTTGTTTTTGTGTCACAACAAGCCTGCAATATCCTGTTTAATAGAGCGGGGCTTCATTTCAAGTCATTAGTGTGACACAAGAGTGTCCAGCTGTCTTCACTCGATGTCCTTTAATTGTTTTATTGCCAACAGACACTGGGACAAAGACAAACAATTATTTGTCCCTGACCAACAGTGACGTGCAAAGAGGCAACTTAATTCTGGCCTTCATTTAGATCTCCCATCCAAACCTTCAGGCGCTTTTATAATGATTTCTGGATGCAACTGACATTAGAAAACAAAGCTGAAGTGTGTAATTTTTGTGAATTTAAAATTGTAATATGCGACTGTATGTAAGATCCATTCATTAAGCGTGTAAACACTTTATCATTTAAGCCCGACACAGCAACACTGGCTCAACCAATGGTCTGATTTTGGGGCGGGACTATCCGTTTCACTGGCCAGTGGCAGACAAGCAGAGTGTTCAACACAATTTCATTTCATTGTGTAGCTATTTTACATTTTAATGAATTGGTGGCTAATTCGTATGATCTCATTCTTACGTTTTTTTTGTATGATCTGCTTATGCCTCCGTTTATGCTTAGAGGGGGATTTTCACGCTTACTTTTTTCTAAAAATCTTATAATTTTGTATGATTCACATCATGCAACTTCATACAAAATCACTTTTTCCCGTGAGATCGGGTTGGGGTTTTTGGGTGAACCTTTTTGACAACTCCATCTCTCCATAAATCATCAAAATCAAAATAAATAAATCACCATGGTTTCCCCGAATGTCAATCCATTTTGTTCGTTCCAGCACTCGTGATCTTTTAAGGACATTGTGGTAGGCCTGCCACTCCACTTCATGTTGAAGAGAGCCCAGTTTACTCTCAGTCTTCGCATCTGTTAAGTCCCCTGTTAAATAAAGTAAAAATGTGGGTCTATGTTGCGTGTATGTATAAAATCTAATTTGACTATTTATACAGTACATAATGTATGGCAGCTCACCTGTGGCCAGCACAAGATCAGGTTTTATCACATCAATAGTGTCTCTACAGAACCTTTCGAAGTCTGGAATGCGCTTCGGATCGTGGAAACGACTGATATGGATGTCGGAAACCTGCACAGAGGAATCAACATGTTTAGAAATCAGCTAATAGTGGGGTATCATGCAGGCCTGTGTGTAGTTAACAGTGAGCGTTGGAAATCTCACACATAAAACTTGCCTATTTATAGAATAAGTGTCACTGGCATATTAGAGGAGGCGTCTCTTATGTGCGAGTCAGTACACAGCTGAAGGTTTCCTGTTTTACCAACCAAATTATGACACTAGGGCTTTACGCACACTGTACATACATATCAGATCTATCTATTTGGCTTTCTACATACATTTTGATTCCAGGATGTCATACATACAGTAGATTAAAAAAATACTAAATGGTCTAAATATATTTGTTAATAAAACTACAATTTTAGAATGTGTGCAGACATTAGGCAGATGAAGTAAAGAATTATGTTATATTCATACATATATCATTTTTATGACAAATGATTGGTGTGATAGTTAAAATAATTGTTAAAATGTTTTACAAATTATGAAAATCTACATCATCCATCAAAGAAATGCTTTAAATCATAGTTTCATCATAATATACAACAAACTCGTACAGTATGGTGTTGGGGAGGGTTAAGCACACACACATTAATTAAGCCTTCCATTTGAAAACTGTCATTATAAAAATAACTATTCCACATGTCTTTACAGGTAAAACCAGACTCATATTTGAAGAACCAATTATGAACTTTCCTCTTTGGCCTTTCCACATGTTAGACAGCTTTACAAAATTTTTTGTTAATATATTAACAAATATTTGCTTCAAAAATAATCGTACTTTTTTTAAGGATTCAACCCCGCTTTTTTTCTTTTCAACCCCTCGCAACATGCTTTTTTCCCCCTCTATGACGGGGTACAATTTAGCAAAAGGACCAAGAGATTTATATGTGAAATATGCATTAACTAAAATTATAGCTCTAAAATTTTCACCGATCATTAACAACGGAATAATACTTATTCTAAAATTATATATATATATATATATATATATATATATATATATATATATAACATAAAATGCCTTTTGCCATATATATATATATATATATATATATATATATATATATATGACATGAAATGCCTTTTGCCAAAGCTGTCCCAGCATTCTTTAAAATATTTTTTTACTCAAATTGTGTTATTCTTGTGTTATTCTATCACAAATAAATATACTGAATGTACAATATAATATATAATCCATGCAATACAATACAATATAATATATTTTTATATTTTTGTACCATATCTAAAAAAACACATTCCAAGTCTTAAAGGGGTGGTTTATTCACTTTTTTAACGTTAGTTAGTGTGTAATGTTGCTGTTTGAGCATAAACAATATCTGCAATCTGCAAAAGCTGAAAGTTCAATGCAAACGGAGATATCGTCTTTTAAAATTCGGGCGATTTAATGCCTACAAAAACGGCTGGTAGGGACTACAACGAGGTACTTCCTGGGTTCGTGACATCACAAACCCAGATAAACCCCGCCCTCGGGAAAAAGTAGCAAAGGGAGCGAGGCCATGCAGCGCTGCTTTAGAGAAGAGGAAGAGAAAACTACAGGTGCATGTAAAAATCTGTTCATATATGAATCGCGATTCTGTCTTCTAACGATTCTAATGGATTCACAAGTTTCAAAATCAATGTTCTAAAGCAGCTGTTCTTAATACTGTTCCTCGCGTCCCTTGCTCTGCACACGCTCTGCATCTAAGTGTTAAACATGGACGCGCGTGCAGTTGCCGTACTGTATTAAAGCTTTAATCAGGATAAAGCTCTATATTAAAAGATAACATAAGCAGTAGCATTTACAAATAACAGCGTATCTAAAAGTATGAGACAACAACAAACAAAAAACATAGGCCTACCATTAATATGGCACAATATCCTCTGCTTCTCAATAGGGCTCAAACTGATAAGCTATATTAAGGACGCCTTTGTTTATAATACAACCTGGCTGAGGAGAGGGGCAGGACGTTTAGACGCGCACTAGAGGCGGTTTAGCCAATCACAACACACTGGGCTAGCTAACCAATCAGAGCCCATCGCCTATTTCTGAGGGAGGAGCTTCATAAAAGCAGGAAATTAATCTGCGTGTTTCTCAGAGAAGGGACAGAGCTGTGTGGAATAAAGGTAAATTATGTGAAAAACAATGCGTTTTTTAAAAAACGAAGCATTAACACGTTAGACTGCACCCTATAAACACAATCAAGCCTAGAAAAAAAAACACTGAACCACCCCTTTAAGACTTATTGTAGGCCTACCCAATATTTCATATTTATGCTTGATTAAACTAGACTAGTAGACTAATCACTTTAAGTATGTGATGTGTCCTCAAGTAAAAATAAATGTCCTTTCAATTTTTGTAACACACATACACCATATTACATTCATTTAATGTCTCGTCGTGATCATAACCATATAATTTACTGAGTATTCATGGTTATATTCAACACAGCAAAACCGTATACATTTGATGTCACGTTAGAGGTTAGAATATTCCGGCCTTTTCCTGCTTAAATATTTCACACAATAACCCTCTTTACTGCACGAAGAATAAGTTATTATGGCAGAAAACAAAATAAAAGCCGTCCCGCAATCAATCACATGATCAGCTCATTGACAGACTAATGACAGTGTGACACGTTTTTTATGACCTCTGCTCACCTGCACAAACCAAAATATATTGTCCAGCTGGCCGCTGGGATTCGGTGGGCCAGTCTTTCTGGACTGATGTAAACTGCGCTTCGGATGCCAGGCGGTGTCATAGCTGTCAACCAGCCAGGAAGTGAAGCACGCGAGCAGCAGCCCAACAATCACCAGAGCCGCGAACAGCCGGAGCATCCTGCCGAAATCTGCCGCCGCCGCCGCTCAGGCGCTTCTCTTCTTCATGCTGGAGGAACCTAATGGGGGATTCAGACAGCCTCACATCCTCGGGCTCTCGCTTCAGCGAACGCCAGGCGAGGCACGGCCGCAATGGACGAGCAAATCAGCGCGCTGTAATCGCCAACATCATCCATCAGAAACTACCGGGTGGCAGATCCTGTCCGTAGAGAAAAAATACTGATGGAAGGGAATAGTGTCCGAAGGGGGCGGAGCTATGCTTTTCGTCTCGGCCCGGAAACTAATATTAATACATTTAATTAGATATTAATAAATTAATATTAAAATAATTTAAACTATTTTATTACTACACTATTTTGATTATTGTTGTAGGTATTGACTAGGTTCTAACCAGGTTCGTTGGTAAATGACATTAATCTCTGTTGGCAAGAATTAAATTACAGGTGCTAATTTCAATTCTTTCCTTAATCCGCTTTTTTTTTCTCTTGTCATGTGAATACTGTAATAATTTTGCATGTTGTTGTTAAAACCAAGCAGTTTTCTATTCTGTAATGTACATTTTCCTTAGTGGAAACTTTAAAATAATGTAGAAATAACATACAATTGCAAATAAAATCAATATGTCATGTCCATGACAGTGTTGTTATTGTTAACAAAAAACTGTAATTAATAAATAAATAATAAATATATCGTTTTCCTTAATTGAAATACAGCTGAAGTATGACTATTTGATGAAAAACCTACATTGCCAACTAACTGAAAACAAGGTGACGTACAAAAATTACTAAAACTCAAATAACACTGGTCCATAAATGTATTTATTTTATAAGTATTATGTAGTATATAAGTGGGATAATGTAGTCAGCTGGTAATTATCAAAAAAGAAACACCTCCAAAGTTGAGTTTTTAATTTAATTAGCAAATGCATTTATTTATATGACTCCTGTAGATCAGGTTTTCTCTTTATAAGAAAAAGCCAATATCAATAACTTTGACCTTTCCACTCCATTTAGTTTATTGATTGCACTTCAGCAGGTCTAGAAAAGACCTTATTCTGTTTTCTGCAGTAGTATTCAAGTTACTATAAAGATGCTGTAGTTCATTTAATTTTAATATACATCCTTTAATGTAACTGAATTGAGCTTCCACCTTTGTCATTATAAAATGTTTGTTTCAAACACATTTTTTGGGTACAGTAGGTAGTTAACGGATTATGACCTTGTTTGAAATGTATCATAACAGTTCTGTATGTCTACATGCTTATAACATCAGAGAGAAGTACACATTACCTAAATTGTCCCATCTGTAAAGACCAAATACAATCAATAAAAACACCATAATCACAGAAGACTTGAGCATTTCATTTAATTCATCGACATTAATTATTTATGTGAGGCCACATTCTATGTCCAGAGAGACAGATTGAGCATAAGTACCGAATCTCACTGAAATTAAAACAGTTATTTTACAGACAAGTGCTTTTGGACTATACCCTAAAAAACATGGAGTATTAGGTTTTTATTTTGACACCTGGGCTGTACTGGAATGCGCCTGATGTCTCTGCCTGTACAGTTTGTACACAAACATTAGAAAACAATTTCACCTAAAGAGTTCATTAATATACAAAAACAACTCAAAAACTAAATTGTTTAATTCAGTAAAAGGCTATCGCTTGGCCAAAGTCTACCAAGTCATGCACATGGCATCTTACGGGAAAAGTGATATTTCATATTGTAATGTATTATGTCCGTTTTAAGGAACAAAAAGGCCCTTCATATTCTGTGCTCTTGCTTTAAGTGCACAATCGTGATTGCTTGTTTTTCACATAAATCCTCTAAGAAGTAGTAATGGCACAGCTAAAGTCACTTGTGAAATGTCTTGCTTGGATCCTTGGCGTGATCGAGCAGCAGCTGACAAGGTGTAAACTGGTTCCCAAAGACCTCCTCAAACTTTCTCATCTTCTCCACAAGTTTGTCTGCACCAAAGCTGTCCACAAACCTGAAGGGTCCTGCAATTAGATCATTAACAAAATGATGGGACTCAATGCATATTATCCTCAAACTAAAAGGAAATTAGAATAAAAAAAAATGTAAAGAAAAAAATCTAAATGTAAATCCAGACTTAGATTCTCACCTCCAAGGCAGGGTGGAAAGCCGAGTCCGAACACGGCCCCAATGTCACCCTCCACTGGATTGGCAAGGATTCCTTCTTGCAAACACAGAACAGCCTCATTCACAAAACGGGACACCAACCTGTACTGAATATCCGAGTCTGAAGAACTGGGTGGAGAGAGAGAAGCAATGATGATTTATTTATTTTTTGATGAAAAATTATGAATTATCCTACTACAAATCAATAACACTGCATTTGTCCTGAAAAATAAAAAAAATCGTTTTATGAATTGAACCTAAAGAGTCTGAACAACTTACATTGCAGCGTTTGGCGTCAGCTTGTATGATTCCAAAATCTCCAGAGCTTCTGTGTTCACATCTCTGCGTTTAAGTCCTGGCTGGTAGATGTAGCAGCCCTTGCCTGATTTCCGGCCTAATAGTGAATTGAGAAGAAATAATTCATGACAATTATACTGAACATGTTGAAGGGTTAGTTCACCCAAAAATGAAAATTCTGTCATTAATTACGCACCCTCGTGTTGTTCCAAACCTGTAAGACCTCCGTTCATCTTCGGAACACAATTTAAGATATTTTTGATGAAATCTGAGGGCTCTCTGACCCTCCCATAGACAGCAAGGTAACTACCACGTTCAAGGTCCAGAAAAGTACCAAGATGATCGACAAAGTAGTCCATGTGACATCAGTGTTTCAACTGTAAAGTCACGAAGCAACGAGAATACTTTTTTACAGTCATCACGCCAGATCTGGGTCAGCGCCGGTGCCGCCACACGCTCGCGTCATTGTACTGTCGTGAACGCGCGTCCAAAGTGACGCAGTAGAGACAAAAATATGGAATCGAACAACATGAGGGTGAGTAATTAATGACAGAATTTTCATTTTTGGGTGAACTAACCCTTTAAGCCCACTAAAGAATAGACCTTAAAGGGGTATTTAACTCCTGACAAGATTGGGTGCGGTGCTACATGACTAGAGAAAACAGAGAAAAGGGCTGTGGCAAAAACACGGTAGGAAAACTTCAACGCCCATAATGCACTGGGTTTGAGCGACTATCCATGAGCAGGGATAGAAAAATGCAGAAATGCAATCTGTACTTTTCGCAAAAGCCCTAAAGCTGTCAAAAAAAAAAGAGTTTCGTTGACAAATCAACGAGGATATCTTGGTGCAGGTAACAGAGCAAAATTACACATTGTTCATTTACATATACTTCTGACATTGAACAAAACAAAGCTGGTTGAAAAAGACGCTATAATGAATTTTGTGCAGATGAAGGGACAGACTTACAGTCTTTACAACAGAATGCTCTGTATAAAGATACTAGATCAGATATGATTTTCAAAACTCAACTTTCAAGAGTTTTTGTCTACTGAAAGTCTTTTAGAAAGATATTTTGTCAGCTGAACAATCTGTGTGTTGTTCAGTACAAGCCATTGAACATGCTGTACTTCTATCCCTCACAGCCTCGTTTTCATTCCTGTCAAAATTAAATATGGCACTACACTGACACGTCCACAACATAAATTTCATCATCAGCATAGTATGGGCAAACTGTATGCACACAGCCAGTTTTTTCTAAATGTGTTTATTCTAAGGTGACATTTCCTAGTTCAGCGGTCAAAATACCATTGAAATATTAGTTATTATTATCTGTGAATTACAAATCTGGGACAATATTATCATTATAATCTTTATTAATTACTATTATACTATTATTATAATTAATAATTATTATTTAACCCTAAATGATTTAAATACAATTAACCAAAAATCACAGTATGAAAAATAGTAAATAGTAACCATTGCAAATAGCAACAGATCAAAGCAGTATTATATTATAAGAATTATGACTTTGACAAATTATGACAAAAAGGCATTACAAAAATAAAACAAATAAATATGAGAAGATATGATAGACTGTATTTAACAACTATTTTTTCTAATATTTTAACATTTTCTAATTGTATTTAATATTATTTTTACAAACTGTAAATATACTGTTTCCATTTTTTTGTTCTTTTATGGTTGTGCTTTTGGAAATTGATCTTTGGAGATTGAGCTTTGATTGAGTATTCACACACACTTACTTTGAAAGGCTATGCATTAATCTGTACACACACGCTAAAGCATTCACGTCAAAACTAATTTCGTTAACAAAAACTATGACGAAAAATGTTCGTCAACGAGGTTTTTTCCCCTGACGAAAACGAGACGATGACGAGACGATAATAAGGTCATTAAATGATAACTGAGACTAAATGAACATGCAATATCGTTGACGAAAAAAAGAGGAGACTAAAATGTAGTTAAAAGAACAAAAACTTTACCAACACCTTTTTATTTTTGTTGAAAAAAGTGGAGCCAAAACATTTCAGACTGCTGTACAAGACACTATTATGCGAGCGTTCATGTTTGCGGTTGCCAGATATCAAGACATCAAATCCCCCAATCAGAGCTTTTCTGTTAAACGGATACGTACTCTGCCCGGCTTTTTGCTTTATTCAATCTGGCAACCATTCACACGCGCTCTCTCTGCGCCGTGATCTGAAAACACCGACATACAGTACTGTACAAGTAAGCTGGAGTTCAGCAATCTCCATTTGAGGTATTCTGCTTAAGTGTCATTCATCCAGTGAGTGTTCTGTCCTGGATCTCGACTGTATTGTTTGCGATAGTGGTTGCGGATTGTAACGTTACTTACGCAACCTCTGTCCGGCAATGAGTCTTTTTGCCGTTGTTTTAAAAGAGAAACATTAATGCAATTTGGAATGATTGGAATTACTATTAGCAATTTCTCTGTTATAATATTTGAGAGTAGGTTTTTGTTACAGCAGTTTTCATAACGTAGACAGTGCGAGTGTATAAAGTCTTTGGTGTTTATTTAGCTTCTAATTGATATCCTGTTATAAATCTGTACACTAACGTTAGATGAGGTCAAGTAAACCATGCATACGAGTCAATATTCTATTGATTTGTGCTTATTGGTGAAAGAGCAACTTCTGATGAAATGTAAAAAAATTCCCAAATGACAACAATCATTGCAATTAAAATTGAGCAAAATAATATT